TCTCCCTCAAGCAGGCTCAGGGTTGCAGTTTCTCTGCTCTGCTAAGTCAGTTCTCACTCTCCTTCTACTGGCTTTTCTTTAAAAAGAAAAGCTGTCTAATATCTGAAATATTCCAATGAATATACGTAACACCTATGTAAGAAATAAAGACTATGCTCAAAAATAGTTGTGAGCCCCGCCCCCACCCTACTTACAAACCCAAACATCAGCTGTAGGGTTGAACCTACACATTTGCTTCTCCCAGTCTCACTCCTCTGTCTCCCCATCAGGGAAGAACTAGGAGCCCGAAGTTTGCGTATCATTGTTTTGCCTTTCTTCTTTTAGTTGCCCACAAACAGACATAACTATAAATGAGATGATGGTCAGTCTGGCTCATCTTTATTGTGCCATATGTACTTTTTGGCAACTTGCCTTTGTCACCTATATTCTGTTTTGAAGATTCATCCATGTTGCTGCAAGCACTTAACATGCATTTGTTATTGTTGGTCCACAATACTCCAGCATGTGAACAGAGACATCTGGGTTGTTTCCAAAATGTATATTAGTAAGAACAGTGCTGCACAAATTTCTCTAGTTTCCCCAAATGGAAATCCTGGATCACAGAATATGCGAATGTTCAGCTTTGCCAGTTAATGCCTGTTTTCCAAAGTGGGTGTATCAACTTATCCTTCTCTCCAGCAGCAGAGATTTCCAAGCCATCCACATCCTCCCCAACACTTGGTTTTGTCAGACCTCTTCACTTTTGCCAATCTAAGTATCTGTCAAGTGGTAGCTCTCTGTAGTCTTAGAATACTAATGAGGCTGACTATCTTTTTACATGTTTAACCACCATTCTTGTTATTTTTTCTATGACATGTCTGCTTGTCTTCTGTCCATTTGTAGGAGTTCTTTATATGTGCTGGATTATAATCCTTTACAGGCTATAAGTGTTGCAAATATTTCCCCACTCTGGGGCTTGTCTGTTCACATTCTTTATTGGTGCCTTTTGATAAAGGGAACATCTTAATTTTAATCTGGTAAAACTGGTCATTTTTATTTCAGAGTTAACATTTTTTATGACTTAAAAAAAAAAAACCTTCCCTATCAAGGACATAAAGGTATTCTCTTATATTGTCTTCTAGAAGTTTTTCTTTAACCTGAAACTGATTTTTCTGTATGTTGTGCGTTAGGAATGCAATTTCACTCTTTTCCGACTGTCACGGCACCATGTATTGAAGAGTCTGTCCTTCGCCCAGTAATGTGTAATTCCACCTCTGCCACATAGCAAGTTTCTCAGGTCTGTTTCTGGCAGCTCTTCTGTCCCAGTGGCCAATTTGTGTTTCCCTGAGCCAATTATAAAGTAAACCTGGACACTGGTAGTGAGGCAGCTGCTCAGTCCTTACTCTTCTTCAAAGTGCCCTAACAATATTAAGACTTCATTCTTCCAACCACTTTACAACAGACTTGTCACGTTTCCTAAAAAACTCATTGGAGATGCACTGAATCCACAGACCAACATAAGAACAGGCAGCTTTACTTACTATATTGAGTCTCCCTAGCCAAGAACATCTCATCTCTATCTATTCAAGTCTTCTTTAATGTCTCTTAATAAAGTTGTAAATTTTACTCCATTAAAAATTTAACACATCTTTTGTTAATTCCCATTTATATCAAAGATCATTCAGTCAGGAAAACAGAAACTATGCTAGGAATTTCAAACAAAAAGCGGTTAAATACAGGGAATTAGGTGCTTTCAAAAACAACTGAAAAGGCTCGAGTGTGCACAGAAGTAAAGTGGGCCACCTCTACCCATCGATTTCACCTCTGCAGCTGCAGTCCAGAGAGTCAGGAAGCCACTCCTGCCATCTGCAGGGGAGGAAACTGCAGGAAACCACTGCCAGGATCACAGCTGCTCTGCAGTCCTGCAAGGGCTGGCCAGTGGGGGATGTGGAAGCCACTGCAAACTCACCTCGGTCCAAGCCCATTCACCCCCACCACTGCTAGAGGAAGAAGGATTCTAGCTCCTTTCCACCTTCCAAATTTCATGGGAGGATCTCATGGGGTTAATGATACCCAGAAGCCTGCCGGCAGGGGGTCTGAGATTACAGCTCCCGTCTCCCCACTCCTGAAGGGCAGGGAACGTACTGATGCCCAGACTACATCCAGCACACCACTCGTTTTCTATCTTCCAAAAAACATGCTGAAATGACTGATCTACTGTTGCATCTTTTCCCATTGCCTTTGTCCCTGTGGTTTTATATCTTTTACATTCTTTTGCTGTAATTTTAACAGGGCAATGAAATAATCTTGTGTGGAAGATTATTTCCACACAAATAAGTGTGGAAAGTCCTGAAGTCCATGTTCAAAAGCAACCTGACTGAGCATGGCTAGGGCTTCCTACAAGTTTACTTCAATTCTCCCCGCAGCAGAGGTGGTTATCAGCTAACGCCTGTCCATACTCCCCTCCCCAATTACAAAGATTTTTCTTCTTTTTTTTTTGGTAGGGAGCAATGTTAATGAGGACTTGACCTAGATCATTATGTTTTTTTAAAATTAATTTCTTTTAAAATAAACTAGAAATACGACAAAATTTCAGCAGTTATTAATTCAGGGAAATGAGAAACAAGTATTATATTATTCTTTGTATATTTTGATAATGTAAATTTCTCAGAATCCCAACTTTAAGAACAATCAGGAATCAATCTGCTTATCCCATCTGGATCATGGCACGCCACTAAGCCACAGGAGAGAGACAGTACCAGGAGTCAAGGGGAAGCCAGGAGCGAGCCAAGAGGTCCGACAGGGCCTTGGCCTTCTCACTCCTCCTGGGACACACTCAGGCCCCACCAGGCCTCGGTGAGTTTGCACACACTGTCGTCGTCATCATGCCCTCAATGGTTGGGGCCTGGCATGCCATCCATTCAGAAGTCTGGGCTCCTGTAGAATAGACTTTATTTTCCTGTCTGGGGAGAAAATACAGGAACCTGTGTAACTTCAAGTCAACACTTGCGCTGAGTGGACTTGTGGCCCTCTGTGCTGGACCACATGACCCAAAAGAGAAATCAGACCTAGTCCCTGCCTTCAACAAGTCCACAGTGCACCGAGAGATGAACCACAGGAGTGCCTATCATTGTTTTCAGTATCTATAACAGGGCAGCATTACACACAACCTTAAAAGCTAAGCCAAAAGGCACTTTGAGAATAGCAAATAAGCCATGCTCCCATTTTAAAGCAAGCCAAATACCATTTGGTCCTTTGTTCAGAAAATCCTCTAGGAGGCTGGATATGAAGTCTCACCCCATCAGGCAGACCAGGGACGCACCCACCCAGTCACAATCACTGGTCCTCTCCAGGCTGACTGAACACGGAGCATCTGCATCCCAAGCACTGGGAAGTTCACACTCTCTGGACGGTGATCCAAGGAACGACCAGGTGGGCTCCGAGACACAGGGCTGTCCTAGAGGCTCCTGACCCAGCTGCCACCTTTCAAGCTCTCATTTGGAAAGGCAAACACCTCAACCAGAGACATGTACCATCTGATGAAGGAAGAACAGGCTCAACAGATGATGAGGAGGGTTTCCTTCTACATGGCCATCTTTGCAGGCAAACACAGTCTGACCAGACCACCTCTGCTTCTTAACTTGGTACCCCCCTCAAAGAACTGTCCCAAGCTCAAATGTCACCTTCTATTTGATGCACTACCTGATCCCCCTGGTTGGAATTAATTGGTTTTTCTTCAGCACCTGGCCTACAGGAATTACAACACTGCTTTCATTTATTGGATGTTGAAAAGGACCCTAGGCCAGGCCCGACTGAGGAGGAGGACAGGTCTCCCGCCCTCAGGGAGCTCACAGTCTAGAAGGAGAGATCAAGCATGGGCACAGGTAATGGTGAGAATTACCAGCGGTTCTAGATGCCATCAGAGAGGGAAAGAGCAGGTGCTGGCAGAAGCCAACCTATAGCCAGGGGGCCCGGAGATGCCCTCTTGTCAGAAGACTGTGAGCTGTGCCAAGCCTTGAAGGACAGGCAGGATCTGTCCACGCAGAGAGAAAACAAGGGGATTCCAGGAAAAGAGAAAGGCATCAACAAAGCATGTGGCCAGGAAATTCTTAACAGGGTGGGCAAAGGAAACAGCCCAGCTGAGCCACTGAAGGGGAAATAGCGACAAATCAGGTTGGCAAAGTAGAACTAAGCCAGATTATGAAGAAATTTGAATGCCAGACCGAAGAGCTTAGGTCTGCGATTATCAAGCTGGAATAAGATACACCTTCCTCTTAGGGACTTTATCAGAACCAGCCAGGTCTTAAACAAATTAGTGTGTGTATATGTGTGTTTGTCTCACACATATACACACACGCTCACACGCAAGATATTACACCTTCCACCCTAACCCGTGGAGAACCAGGGATGTAATTAACACCATTACTCACGGGGTGTGTTAACACTCCTTGAGGGTGCTGGGGGAGAAACCAGGTGGAGAATCAACAACTTAAGACTTTCTCCGACATCTGTGTACGTCTTGAGGAACCTACACATCGCCAGTTGAAAACCTCTGAGTGAAAGATTACTAGTGACTGAGTGAGCAGGACCGGTCGGCACAGCCAAGGCCAGTCTAAATGACCCTCGCCAGGATTCCAGCCAAGTCTCAACAGGCACCTACCTCTAGAGCCAGGCAAGGGTGAGGTAAGAGGTGCCAGGGCACCACGCTTCAGGGGCGCTGCTCTTGGGGCATGCAGTGCCTCCCAAAATGTGGCGTCCTGGGCACCTCCCTTGCCTCCTCACAGCACTGACCCTGCCATCTTGCAGGTTCTGGGATCTGCCTGTGTTGGGCATCTATTTTTGAAAAAGAGAGAGAGAGAAAGAGAGAGAGAGGAGAGGGTGTCAGCTCAGAATAACCTTCCAGCACGTGGATGCAACCCAGGTTACCAGTTGACACCATCTCCTCCCTCACAGGAAGCACAATCACGCAGCTACGATGGAGAGGCGGGGGCCACGTGCGTCCACCTGCCCAACACACTCACCTGGACAGTCGGCTTCGTCGCTCTCATCCTCACAAGTCACCCAGCCGTCACACTGCCAGGGGAGGGGGATGCACTGGATGGCGCCACTGCGACAGGCAAACTGCCCAGGGTTGCACCGCAGCTCTGTGGAACCAAAGGGCAAGAGGCCATTGAGGAAGTGGCAGTAGCAGCGGGGACCTGGAGCAGCCAGGCCTGCCACTGCCTGGCCCTGCCACCACCCGGTCCCTGTGAGCGTGGGCCAGACACCAGGCAGTCTGCCCATCGCCTGCCTTCTTGGGGACCTGCACCCGCGTCCCAAGGAAGAGCCAAGAGCTATGCCCACAACGCCATAAGCCCCCAGAGCAGTGCACCCTCCAAGACACTGATCTTTACGTGCCACCTCAAACACACACGCTGCGTTTCTGCTCTGAGTCGGGCTCTGCGCTGGACTGCAGAGGAGACAGAAACAAGAGGGCACATTTCTCACCTCGTGAGGGATTCTGGGTCAATAGGGAGGACATACACATGGATACACACACATTCAGGTTTCTGACAGAGCAAATGCAGGTTACCCCCACAGGAGCACTCAAACAGCACGCCAAACACAACAGGAAGGAAGGAGAGACTGTCTCCACCTGAAGGGTTCTGGAATGCTTTTTTTTTTTTTAATTTTTTTTTTAACTTTATTTATTTATTTTTCCCCCCAAATCCCCAGTAGATAGTTGTATGTCATAGCTGCACATCCTTCCAGTTGCTGTACATGGGACTCGGCCTCAGCATGGCTGGAGAAGCGGTGCATCGGTGCGCGCCCAGGGTTCCAAACCCGCGCCGCCAGCAGCGGAGTGCGCGCACTTAACCGCTAAGCCATGGGGCCGGCCCTGGAATGCTTCTTAAAGAAGGTGGGATGTGAACACGGTTCCCACGGTGGGTCGATGCTTTCAGAAGATACATATAATATAACAGGAAGGGAAGAGCTTTCCAGAAAAAAGCAGGGCTTAAGGAAATATCACGGGCTGAAGAGCATGCCAAGTAGATTGTATGAGCTGACAGATGGGGAATCACTGGAGATAAGTTCGGAAATATAACAAGGGTCAGATTGTGGAGGCTTTGAGGGTAAGATAATTCTGATCTTTATTTGGTATGTTGTAGGGAGCCAGAGGTTATTTAGCCAGTAAGTAACATGATAAGATCTGTGTTTTAAGAAAGTCTGTGTGTATAACCGGCAATGGTTTCTGAAAGTAATTATAACAGCGGGACCAGGCAAAAATATTAAATAACTCAGCAAAGTAAGGGTTTGAACTGAGGCAGGAGGTGGCAAATTACAGCCCATGGGCCAAATCCTGACCGTCCCAGCAAAGTTTTAAATAAAGTTTTATTGAAACACAGCCAAAATTATGTATGGTTTATGGCTGCTTTAGAACCACAACAGCAGAGTTGAATAGTTGCAAAAGATACCATATGACCTACAGGGCTGAAAATATTTAGTCTCTGGCCCTTTAGGAAAGGACTGCAGACTCCAGAACTGAGGTGGCCACTGATAAACGGGCAAACCTTGGAAACAAAGGAAAACGCTGAAGTGTGATGGAGGGAGTCCTACACACCTACCCACTGACGCAGGAAGAAGAGACAAAAGAGCTTACTCAGACGACAACGTGCTGCTGCACGTGCTCCCTCAGCCACCTCCTGGATCTCCCAGAATCATTCCACTGACATCCAGGAAGAAAAGGAACTTGCCTGCACCTGAGTCCTGTTCCATCACTGCCCTGAGTAATCACAGCAAGCATCATTCTAATTTATCAAGGAAGATGAACCCACCAAATCAGGTAGGAAGTAGACGCTACGCCTGAGCCCTCCCCAACCACCACCTGGGACAGACACCTGGGGCATCATGAGCCCACGTGTGGGCAGTGTGCCATCAGCATCAGTGCATGCAGGAGAGGGCTTCTTCAGAATGCTCTGAGCAGGGTCAGACATCCGTCTGCAAGTCCTCCAGTCCCAGGTGGGAAAGGGAGGAAGGGGAGAAGTGGAGGGAGGGATTGTTAATTCACTATTCCTGCCCCTCCACCACCTGCCACACTGCAGTAAATCAATTCAATCTAACCACAGAAAAGCCTTTACAAAATTGATAACATTGATGAAATATTCACAGTGCTGTCTATTTTATAAAGGCTTACAGCCAAGATGGAGTTATAGGGATGGATTTAACTGCCCACCCGAAACAACTGGAAAAAAAAAACGAAATATAGAAAAACACCAGTTCTCCAGACACTGGACATGAGGCAAGGAAGAACAGAGACCCCCGAGAGTCAAGGCAAAGTGAGCCTTACTGCCTGAAGGACATTTCCAGGCTGCAGAGCAGGGAGAGGGACGCCAGCAGGGCGGAAGACTCTTGGAGTCAAGTGCATGCAGCTGAAAGTGGGGGAAACCAAGGCAGATAGAGCTCACAGGACGGAGCTCTGAAGAGTCTGGGAGGAGAGAGAGCTGCACAAAGACAAGACCCCAGAGACCTACAGAGGGACCCCTTTGGGCTCCGGGCAGAGTGTTGACCAGCACGTGGTGTGAGGAAACCACCTCGGGCCAGGGAAAGAACTGCCCTAAAGGTTGGGAGGGAACAACAACAAAGTCCAGCAGGGTCACAAGCAGCACCTGTTCTCAGGGGTCAGACTGGAAAAACTCATCATTCATGGGGTGCTGCATCAAGTACTCAGAAGAGTCTTGCTTCATTAGTGGGGAAAAATTAACCGAAGTTAAACGCTGCTCCAGTCCTGCCTGACAGAGATTAAAAGCAAGAGCCACACGCTGGGCCGGCCCTGTGGCTTGGTGGTTAAGTGCGCGCGCTGCAATGCTGGTGGCCCGGGTTCGGATCCCGGGTGCGCATCGAGGCACCACTTCTCCGTCCATCCTGAGGCCGAGTCCCACATACAGCAACTAGAAGGATGTGCAGCTATGACATACAACTATCTACTGGGGCTTTGGGGGGAAAAATTAAATAAATAAAATCTTTAAAAAAAAAAAAAAAAAAAAAAAAAAGCAAGAGCCAGAAGGATCAAATTGTTAGAACAAAGCTCAGGAATATTTAGGGGAATGCAAAACCATGCAGCACCCAAAAACTCAAAAATCACAGTCCGGCGTTCAATAAAAAAATTACCAGACATGCAGAGAAGCAGGAAATTACAACCAAAATGAGGATAAAAAAATAAGTCAATCAAAATTGACCCAGAAATGGCACAAATGATAAAACAGACAAAGGCATTAAAAGTCGTTCGAACTGTACTGCAAATGTTCAAGAAGCTAGAGGAAAAATTCAACATGTTAAGTAGAGAAATAGAAGATATAAAAAAGAAACATACCTACCGCCTAGAGATGAAAACTACAACGCTTGAGATGAAAAATACACTGCACAGGATTAACAGATCCAGTTTTATAGAAGAAAAGATTAGTGACTTGAAGACAACAATAGAAACTCTCTAAACTAAAACACAGAAAGAAGCAAAAGCAGAAAAAATGAACTGTGAGCTGTGGGAAAAATTCAAGTACCCTAACATACATGGACTTCGAGAGGCAAACTGACAAAACATTTGAAGAAACAATGGCAGAAAAACTTCTCAATTTGATGAAAACTATATATAAACCCACAGATCCAAGTAGCTCAATGAACCCCAAACATAAGAAATATAAAGAAAACTACTCCAAGGCACATCATAATTAAACTGCTAAAAACCAATGATCAAGAGAAAATCTTAAAAGCAGTCAGAGAAAAAAGACATATTGTGCACAGAAAAAACAAAGATGACAGCAGATTTCTCATTAGAAATGATACAAGCTGGGAGACAGTGGAGCAACACTGTTAAGTCCTAAAAGGAAAAATAAAAGCTGTCAATCTAGAATTATTTAAAGCAAAAACATGTATACCACACTGTGGGGTTTATAACATACGGAGAAGTAAAATTTTGACAACAATAGCAGACAAGCTGTGAAGAGAGACGCAGAAGTACACCATTTTAAGGTTCTTATACGTAAAGGCGTCTGTCACATGAAGGTAAACTGTGATAGGTTAAGCATGAATACCACTAAACAAAGACAAGCGCTACAGCAAAAAAGCCAACAAAGACGACAAAATGGAATAAAACATACTCAATCCAAAAGAAGGCAGAAAGAAAGGGAAAAGGAAACAAACAACAGATGGTACAAAAAGAAAACAAATGACAAAACGGTAGATTGTAATTAAATCTGCCTAATCAATGAACATATGGGGTGACCTAAACACCCAATTAAAAGGCAGAATTTGTCACATAGGTAAAAAAGCAAGACCCAACTATATACTGCCTAAAAAAACCTCACTTTATATTAGGACACAAACAGGTGAAAATAAAAGAATGAAAGAAGATATACCACGCTCACACTGATCAAAAGAAAGCTCGAGTGGCTATACTAATATCACACAAAGCAGACTTCAGAACAAATACTATCACCAGGAACGTAGAATGTCATTTAATAATGATAAAGGACATAACAATCCTAAATGTTTATGCATCTACAGCAGAGCTTCAAAATATGAGGGAAAAACTGCTATAACTGCTAATAGACAAATTCACAATTACAGGAGAGATTTCAATCCCCTCTCAATTACTGACAGAACAAGCAGACAGAAAATCAGCAAGGATACAGACAACCTGAACAATACAATCAACTATCTGGACCTAACTGACATTTACGGAACTCTCTACCCAAAACCAGCAGAATACACATTCTTTTCATATGCATACATAGTATTTACCATAATAGATAATACCATGGGCCATAAAACAAACCTCAATAGATTTATAACGATTCAGATCATACAGAGTATGTTGTTTGACCACAACTGAATTAAATTAAAACAACAGCAGAAAGATATCTGGAAAATCCCCCAACTATATGGAAACAACTGATACACTTAATTACCTATAGGTCAAAGAAGAAATGAAAAGGGAAATTTGAAAGCATTTTAAATTAATGAAAATTTGTGGAATGCAACTAAAGCAGTTCTTAGAGGCAAATTTATTGCATTTAACTTCAATACCAGCAAAGAAGTAAGGTCTCAAACCAACGACCTCAGCTTCCACCTTAAGAAATGAGAAAAGAAGACCAAACGAAACCCAAAGTAAGCAGCAGAAAATAATAAAAAACAGACTGGAAACTGATGAAACAGACAAATGGAGAAAATAATTTTTTAAAAAAGGCTGGGTTTTTTGTGTTTTTTTTGAGAAGATCAAAGACATTAATAAACCGTAGCCAGACTAATCAGGAAAAAAATAA